TGTGTGTGTGTGTGTGTGTGTGTGTGTGTGTGTGTGTGTGTGTGTGTGTAGCAGCACCTCAGTCACTCCCTGGTGGTACAGGAATGTTGATGGGTTTATGGGGCCCTCGTGCATGAATCAGAGTCAATTCTAGCACAGAGGAGGTAACCTTCCTGCTGTCCTGTGCTGTCATCAGAACCCACTTAGAGTATTGTATCTAGTTTAGGAAGTCACATTTTAGGAAAGACAAGGAAGCATGGAACAGGGATAGAGGACCACCTTGGAGTTCAGAGACTTGGGTTCACATCCTGCTTCTGACCACAAGAAGTCAATTAATTTCTTAGTGCTGCATATAAATCTGTAAGACTATAAATTATAGACAAACTGGTCTGCATCAATGAAAGAAAAGGCTACAGTGTAGCCACTACACCAATTAGTAGGCAGGTAGGTGGTGGCTATAGCATACAGAGCACTGGGCCTGGAGTCAGTAAAATCTGAGTTTAAATGTGACCTCATACACTTCCTAGCTATGTGACCCTGGGTAAGTAACTTTTAACTTCTGTCTGCTTCACTATAAAATGGGGGTAATAATGGTGCTTATCTCCTAAGGTGGTTGTGAGAATCAAATGAGATATTTGTAAAAAAAAAAAAAAGTACTGTGCCTTGTGCACATAGTAGGCACTATATAAATGCTAGCTATGATGATGATGAAGAAATCACAGGTGAGGGTGGGGAAATCTAAAACACATCCAGAGCTTTTAAACCTGGTGAAAGATTGGATGTGGGGAGGAGGGTAGTTGATTACTGCTTTGTAATCAGTAATTGGCCTCAAAGGACAAAAACAGGACCAAATGGAATTTAGCCAGATTTTTGTTTCTAAACTTAACAATTAGATCTGTCCGGCAGTTCAAGAGGCTGTCTTAGGAGGGAGTGAGTTCCCCACTGTGAGAGGTATTTCAGTTTTGTGATGTTTTGGGAAGGGGTTGGTTTAGATCACTGATTCATAGTGCTGGAGGTAGAAAGGACCTTAGAAATTATCTAGTTCAATGTCTTTTTTTTTTTTTCCAGTTGGAAAATAGGCCTTAGAGGGAGGGAGTTGACTTGCCCAGCGTCAAATCTAAAAACTGGAACTTGAACTCAGGTTTTCTGACTCCAAGTTCAGTGTTCTTTTTTTTTTTTCTTCTACCCCATTCTGCCTTCCAGATTCATACCTCCAGGTTTCCTTCTAGCCCTAAGTTCCTATGAGGAACTAAATTCTTATGAGAAGCCCTTCTGTTTGGTGGTGCCAAAGGGCGTCTCTAACTCTGAGCTGATTGGGAAGCCCTTGGTAACTAGAGAGAGGATTCTGGTCTAAGCTGAGACCAGACCCCAGGGTGGCTCAAACTGTCACCCACTTCCTGGCCGCGGACAATGGGCTAATCCTGTGCCAAACCGAAGGGGCTTGGCTTGCCATCAAGAGCTTGCTTGTGCCCAGTCTGGCCTGGGTTTCTAGACCGCGTAATGCTCTCCCAGGGACAGGATGGTTTAGAATGATTTCATGGGGCATTGAGCCCAGGCCCTCCTCAACTCCTCTAACCCCTATCACCTCAATGGCTGCTCTCTAGTATTTCACAGTTTTGTAGAAGTTGGATGCCAGTTCTTCCCAAATTCCTGGCACCCAGCAAGGGACAGGGATTTGCTGATCTTTGCAGTGCTCCTTGGGTTTGGAGGAAGGGAGATGAGCCACCGCTTGGAGGAAAATCTCTTAGAAGGGAGGGCTGGTAGCTATAGCATGAAAGTGCAAGATATTAATATGATAGGAGGAAATCAGCTAGCTACCCAGGATTTTTACTCTCACACAGGTCTCAGGGTCAGGGCAAGGAAGACAGTTTGTGGTCCTTTTGGTTGGGATTCACTGTCTTATAAGACAACCCTTGCTTCAATGAGGGAGGGGTTATACTGAGTTTCTAGTGTTCTCTTTTTCATCAATTAGCAATTAATAAGATCATAGCATTAAGGGCTGGAAAGGACTCTACCCTCTCAGGGGTGCTTAATCTTGGATGCACTTACCCATCTCCAAAGATTCTGTGGATAGTTTTAGGAAATCTATGAACTTGGATAGGAAAAAAATTACAACTTTATTTTTCACTAATTACTAACTGAATTTTAGCATGTCCTTCAATTGTTTTAAGACATTATTCTGAGAAGGAGTTTATAGGGGTCACCAGACTGCCCGAGGGGGTCTGTGACACACAAAAAGGTTAAGAACTGATACATATTTTTTTCTTTAAAAAAAAAAAAACCTGACATATTTTGTTTTGACCCAACAGAATTTCCTCAAACCACTTTACAAAGTACATTCCCTGAAACATTTTATCAACATTCCCTGAAACATTTTATCAATGTTAATTGAAAAGAGGGACTTGTCCTTTAACTGTGACAGTAGGATATGAATGTTGGCCATTGTAAATGTATCTGACCAAAGTTCTGTTGACTTTATTTGCTGTGGTCATTGTTTATATAGCTCTTTTGGTCCTTCTTTCTTCACTTTGTATTGCTTATAAAATGCTTTCTATGTTTCTCTGAATTCTTCAGATTTGTTATTTCTTGTGAAATGGTAATATTTTATTACATTCATACGTCATAATTTATTCAGCCATTTCCTATTTGTGGGATACATATTTATTTTTCAGCTTTTTTTTTATCACAAATAATGTTGTTCCAAACATTTTTGCAAATATGAATATTTTCTTGCTGTCAATAACAATACATAGCCCCAGAAATGGAATCTCTAGATCAAAAGGTGTGAATGAATTTCTATTTTTTTCCCAATTTTATTAATTTATTTATTTTTACTTTTCAACATTCACTTCCACAAGATTTTGAGTTCCAAACTTTCTCCCCATCTCATCCCTCCTCCCACTCCAAGATGGCATGCATTCTGAATACCCCTTCCCCTAATCTGCTCTCCCTTCTATCTCCTCTCCCCTTCCACTTCCCAGCCATTTCTCCTTCCCCTTCTGTTTTCCTATAGGGCAGGATAGATTTCTATACCCCATTGCCTGTATATCTTATTTCCCAGTTGCATGTGGAAACAATTTTTAACATTTGTTTTTAAAACTTTGGGTTCCCAATTTTCTCCCTTCCTCTCTCCCCACCCACCCTCATTGAGAAGGCAAGGAACTCGATACAGGTTATACATGTGTAGTCGTGCAAAACACTTCCATCGTAGTCCTGTTGTGAAAAACTAACTATATTTCCTTTCATCCATCCCACCCCCCATTTATTCTGTTGTCTCTTTTGACCATGTCCCTCCTTAGTAGTATTTGCTTCTGATTACTCCCTCCCCTTTATCATCCCTCTGCTCTCTTATCCCCTTCCTCCCTATTTTCCTGTAGGGTAAGATTGACTTTCTATTTCTTGCATAAATCCAAATTGTTTTCCAGACTAGTTGAACCACTTTACAAGTGTGTCTGCAATGAGTTAGTGTGACTATCTTCCTCCCCTCCAATAATGAATTTTTCCATCTTTCAGTGTCTTTGCTATCTTTATGGGTGTGAGGTGACATCCCAAAACTGTTTTTAATTTTCCTATTGTTTCTTATTATTTGTTATTTTGTACATCTCTCAATAGGTGATCATTGATAGTTTGTATTTGTTTTTGAAAATGATTCCTGTCTTTTGATTACTTTCCATTGGGGAATTACTCCAGCCCTCTCAACTTTGAACCCCTGATCTTTCCCTCCATACCTAATAGACTGTAAGTTCCTTAAGAGCAGGGATCCTTCTTCAGTACTTCCACACACTTCCTCAGTAGTGATACTTTCTTCTGGTATAGGTTGCAGCTCCTCTGTATCTTCTCATACTCTGTGATTCCTCTCTTTGTCTTTCTTTAAAACCTCCATAGCAGATATGCCTTCTGGCTCCTTTAATATGTCCTGAGTCCCAGTGCAGAATGTGGACTAGCCGTTTCTTTACCTTCTTCCTTGCAATATGACTAGCCTGCCCCCTTTTTTAGTTATAATATCTTTGATATGTCCCATTTGCATATGGTGCTTTAAGGCTTCTAAGCGCTTTCCTCACACCCACCCTCTGAGGTAGGTTCTGCAAATATTATGCTATTATACCCATTCCACAGATGACAAAACTAAGAGGGACTTGCCCAGGTGGACACAGCGAGTATGAGCTAGGAGTCCATTCCAGGTCTTTTGACTCCAAATTCATTGTCTCTTTCCATTACATCCACTAGATGACATATCATGGAAAATTGATGTATCAGGAAAGTTCAAAATTACAGGGGACTCAAAAGGAATGTAAAAATGCTGCAACATGTTAGCAATGAGTGCTTAATTGGCATAATTTTTACTAGAAGCAGCCAGATGGTGCAGTGATAAACCTTTGGGTATGGAGTCAGGAAGGCATGAGTTTAAATCTAGCCTCGGACACTTACTAGTGGGTGATCCTGGACAAATCACTTAAATTTTGTCTGCCTTAGTTTCCTCACCTGCAAAATGGGGATAATATTAGCATCTACCTCACAGGGTTTTTGTGAGAATCAAATGAGATAATAATGATAAAGTACTTAGCACAGAGCTTGGCATATAGTAGGCACTTAATTAGTGCTTGTTTTCTTCATCATGCTACATCTCATGTACACTATCTTCTTGTGTGCAGGTCCTCATCGCTAACATGTTGCAGCATTTTTACATTCCTTCTGAGTCCCCTTTAATTTTGAACTTTGCTGATATGTCAATTTTTCATGATATGCAACTACAGAACATCATCAAAAGAATAATGGTGTTTAAAAAAAAAAAGATGGGCTTTTGCCTATTTTTAGTCTTCTGAGAGGGCAGAGACTGTGTCTTATTTTACATTGTACCCCAAGCTCTAAGCATAGGAGTCTGGGCAGAGATTGTAGTAATGATTTTTTATATTTGGATCTTCTCTAGCATTCA